TTGAAGCATCTACGATAATTATTATTTATAATTTTGGTCTATTAATGTATTTCTCATGATTTTTTTTACCGTTGACCTCTACATAGACAGCTACAGGCATAACATTTTCTAGCTTTTGAATTATTATGAGAGATCTTAGTGATGTGTTATATCTTCTAAAGACTTCACATTGGCACCGATCACTCTGCCAGTCTTATTAACTTTATAAACAGTTATTTGATCCAATCTTGGTCTATTTATGGCATACAGGGACCGTGTATGTAGTTCCTTGACAGATCTATAATCTATATACGATATATAAGTGTAGGTACGGTAGGCCTCTTTACCTAATAGAGCATATTTTTAATATCATTTTTTAATAGTTGTTGTAAATTGATTTGAATTTGATGTATGTATTAGTTTATACATGCATTGTTCATATAATAAATTCATTATATATTTCATTTTCTTTTCAGTCCAGCCGACAATGTCTTTACATTACTTAAATGTAAAATTACGGTGTACGTGATATGAAATAGGCCTGCAATTTAACCAAGACTTATATTTTAATATAGGCATATTATAAATATTAATAATCCAAGACAAGCTTAAAATGAGAAGAGTAAAAATACGAATTCAATTAATAATACTCAACTTTATATATTTTTTAAATTAATTAGAGCAAATTATTTTGTCATAATGTCGCTTAGCGTCATCATTCATCTCTTCTTCAATCTGACATCCAGCGTCATCGATATGAAATCCCTGGCACTCGGCATGTCGCTGACATCGCAGCGCGCATCTCATGACTAAAGCATCCATAGTTACACCACGATTTTTCACAGATTGGAAATACAGATGATCTATAAATAATAATAATAACGTAATTATAGGCCCTACAATCTAAAATACTGTAAGTTTTTTGTAGTGTGGTGGGGAAAGGAGTCATACACTTTACCGAGTCCTTTACTTGAGTGGATGGTGGTATTTCAAATGTTATGTGAATGTTTAAATTTTTTTTGTAGAGTCTACAAAAAGAAGATGATAATTTGGTCGGAAGACATTTATAATTCCATTCGTTGGCATTCATTCGTTCGTTCTTTATTATGCCAATAACATAAACAAGTGAATACATGAAGTTTAAAGGAAATTCAACAAATCAATTCAAATTCAATTAAATTCAGTTCAATTCTGTATTTTTCCGTTTACCTTAGTAGCCGTGGTAGAAGAGGTGGGGTTTAATATGTGCATGCGTTATTAGCTCAGTAATTTCTCATTATGTTGATTCCCATGTTTTTTTGTTTTTTTTTCTCCCTCTCCCTTGGACGTACATTGCTTTAGGAATAGTGCTACTAATAACAATCGATCGGAGATTTATATGGCGCATGTGGGGCATATCATCATAAAAGTGAGTTTCTGAATTTATAAACAAATAAATAAATAAATGGTGGGTTATATAATAAATATAATAGTACTTACCATACTCACAAATGTATCCTTTCGCACCGAAATATGTTGTAGGAGGATGATCCAAAATTTTACCACTGGTTATGTCAATTCTAATCCCAGCAGAGTTCTTACTGTTTTCATTAGGCTGGCTTGGTACCCATGGAATATATGAAGAATTAAACACCTCTCCTGTTTCCCACTTCCAGTTTTCATCTACACTCCGATTCAACCCCGCTTGTCGTGATAATCCAATCACGTATTTGCCGTAATTGTATTTTTTCACCATGTAGTCGAGGACGGCGTTTAATTCTTCGGCAGTTGTGAGACTTGCGAGATAACCACGTGATGATTCACATGCGATATTCTTGTCATGTTGCAACCATTGACACACAGCATACTGCGACCACCGATGGCGGATCTTGTCACAGCCTTAAAATGACGATGAATAGAAAAATCAATAATAAATTATCAAAAATAAATTGTACATAAAATAAAGCAATGTTGAAAGACGCTCGTATGACCAAGTTGTTCAACACAAACAAGCAACACAAAAAAAAAAATAAATAAATAAATAAATTTAAATGCATTTTTCTTGTGAATATTTTATGATTTATATCTTGGAAAGAAATCCGGCTGATACGGTACCGTTACCAGCAACACACAACAAGCGAAAGCTGAATAGGCCATGATTATTATGAAAATTCGTAGTCATGTAATCCAGTCCGCGAAGAAAAATTAAAGAACGGAACAGGATATTAAATGAAACGAAAAGAGAAATAAAAAAAAAAGGGGGGAAAAGGACAAGAAACGTTAAGGAAAATAATAGTGGAAAAAAGAAAAGAAAAAATAAGGAAGCAAAAATAAATGACATTTATTTTTTAAGTTTATTTCTATTAATTGTTTTAAACCAGAGGTGGTCATAAATATCGGTCGAAGGGCCAAAGTGAATTTTTGATTTAACACCGCGGGTCACACCCAAAATTTGATGTTTCCCGTGAGCTTCCGAAAACCTCCAAGCACTGCTTTTACACCACTTTATTCTCAGTTTTAATGTTCCTTTTTACATGATGGGTGTCGGGCCGTAAAAAAACAAGGTGTTTTCTAATTAATTTTGCTTGGCGGCCGCACCCATAGGGTTTTTTAATTCATTGTCGCGGGCCGAACAAATCGCTGTCGGGCCGCATGCGGCCCGCGGCCGCACTTTGCCTACCTGTGTTTTAAACAGTGCAAAGATTTACACAAGTATGTTATGATAAACGACAACAGAAAAATTATCTCCGTCATACAAATTTCAAGAAAAAAACCCCATTTTTTCATCATTTGTGTTCTCTTCAATTTGTCAAATTAGTATAAAAATTGTAATTATTGTTAGTGTTGTTGTCATTATTATTATTAGGCCTATTATTATTATTAGGCCTATTATTAAGCCTATTATTATTATTATTATTGCTATCACTTTTCCTGTTGTTATATACTATTATATAATTGTTACGGTACCGTATTATAGCCTAATTGTTAAAAAATAAAAATGTTTAGTATTGCACTAATTTTCCGTAATCAGGGAGCCACGAGAAATAAGAGCTCCAAAACAGTTTTGCTCCAAAACAGTTTGGCCTACTTATTAAGCCTATTATTATTATTATTTCTATTACTTTTCCTGTTGTTATATACTATTATATCATTGTTACGGTACCGTATTATAGCCTAATTGTTAAAAAAATAAAAATGTTTAGTATTGCATTAATTTTCCGTAATCAGGGAGTCACGAGAAATAAGAGCTCCCAAACAGTTTGGCCTATACTCAGCCAAACATGTAGCAAATTTAGCAGATCTAAATCTTAAAATCTAGCAAATGCAAATGACTGGTTGTCGGTAAAAACGCATTATTCGGTCATGTTTAAAAGATGTCGAACACAAAACAAATATACAAACACTTATGGGACAAAATGTACCATGGGTACAGAAACAATTAATCGAAAAATCATGTATTTAGCAAAAGAGAAAAACTTGACAGGAAAATGTATCTAGTCTGTGTGGAGATCAGTTACTAAACGAAGACTATAACAGATTATGGAAATTGAACGAAGGCCAAATATACAGCAAAGTGTGCAACTTCATAGTACTAATGAACAAAACTATTTATGTCGTCCTCTCCCTGACAGTATATTTATTTAATTGAAATATGTTTAACTTACTTGTAGTTTGACGAAGATTTGTAGCAGTGATGAAGATGATGACTATAGATTGGCAGAACTTCATTTTCTATTGCTGTACATTAGCCGTACGAACGAGCACTATAAGCCAATTGACAACTTTAGCTACAACTCATCCCCGAACACATTAATAAATCAAGTGTAATAATAGCTCGGAGCTAGGTTTTCTGTCAATAGGCCTACATTAACTATTCATTCGAACGTAGCTATAAATTGCATCTTTATTCTCTCTTTATTGCAAACATGATACAGCCTGGTATGAATTACAATGGGATAAAGAAATATAATTCTTTTATCAAGCCTAGTCGTCCTCTTTCTTAACAACATTGATTCATCCCCACTCCTAAACCTAAACTATACGATTCAAAAATTCATTGGGAGTACTAATGTGTTCGACAGGGTGGGGAGGGGGAGACACCTTAATGGCCAGAGTCTGAGAGTGCTATTTCTGGTCATCTGCTTGGCGTGGGCCTATTTTTTTTGTCCAACTGCCCGACGCGATCTAGCGATGGGGCTTGACCTGTCCGATGGAGGGCTTATCCCCTGCCCCTGCCCCCTCACCCGGCGCCGTCCGGTATTTTCAAATCAGATAGACTATATGCGGTAATCTATAGTTATAAATCGGATATCAAATTCAAAACAAATAATTCACGGAGCTTAACTATATCCAAATTTAAAGTTTATAAATAAATGAGCTCTAAAACTAGACAAATTTTCCTGGTGGAAAACCGCCTTTAGTAGTTTCAGTTTCTCTTTCTTGTGAATATAAACAATAAGAAAACAATACATGTAATAATAATGAATGATTTAATTATGATTAATATGCAACTATGAATTTTCTTGTAAATGTAATTTTGAAATTAAGTTAGATTAATTTTTTATTCTGTAATTTTCTTGCAGACAATGTTGACTGCTGTTGTATGACTTTTTTATGTTCTGAATGTGCAATACCTAAAATACAATACAATGCCTAATGAATAAATATATTATTGTCTATTTAAATTAGCAAGTCCAGAGACACTCAAGGAAGTCTAACCACTGAATAAGCAAAATAATGATTTTAAATCTGCTAACATATCTGTTTCCACTTTTAAATTACTCAAAACATAATGCAAATAGGCCAAAAGAAACCTTTATTAATATCAAAGCAGGTTAAAACAAACTATAAGTTTAATCCGCTATTTTTATTAACATGATTTTTAGCATAGTAATCTTATCATGTCCTATTCAGAAACAATATAATACTATCAACCAATAACAGTATAGCATTTCATAGTAATTACAAGGCAGTTACTATAATACTTAACTATGATGCGCCCTCGTCGTCATTTTTACTAGAACTTGCTACGCCCGTTGGATCTAGGCTATAACAAAAATCTGCCTAAACCTATTATACACTGTATTATGATGTATACAGATAATGAATTTGTAAAGTATAATTATTAATTGAATAAGATCGTAAATTAGGAGTGGTCTTAATCAACTGTTTGTCCTTCAAAGACAGTCAGATATATTCCTGACATGAAATTTTAAGTACCAAGTAAGTTAAACAAAGAAATACAAAGTAAGTTCCGCCCCTCTCCATTGATAATTACATCTCTCAAACTTTTCATTATACTCTGTGGCCCTAACAATGTTTATTGTGATGGTCGCGAAACGTCACAAACAAGTAATTTATTAGTTTTAGCAATACTTAACACATTTTACTAAATTGATTTAATGTGAAAGTGACATTATTAATCTGTATAATTTAACTATAGTAGATACAATAAAGTATGCCATTCGCGCAAGTTTAAAAGTATGTGTCGTTGTCCTAAAATTCCATTTCGAAAGAATAGTATTTCAGTATTCTTGCCAATGTTAAGTATTCATTATAATTTTCACATAATGTCGCTTAGTGTCATAATTTTACAAATTCAAATACTACCCTACTTTTCTATAGTTCATTCTATTATTTGGAATAACTTTCGCATAATGTCGCTTAGTGTCATTTATCTCCTTTTCGATCTGACATTCAACGTCATTGACATAAAATCCCTGGCACTCGGTCTGTCGCTGACATCGCAGTGCGCATCTCATGTACGAAGCATCCATAGTGACTCCACGGTTCTTCACAGATTTAAAATACAGTGGATTTATAATAAGTAATTATACAAAATTTCTATTTAATGTGTGCAAATAATCGTACACCGTAATTTTTGGATAATAGGAAGTTTACGGTTACGTCATTTTTTCTTTTTCTTTTTTTTTTTCTTTCTTTCTTTCTTTTTTTTATATTTTTTTTTTTAATTTTTGCATGAATGGAAGATCGTATTCAACTCATACAGCATACTGTCAGGCACGAATCACGATAATGATAATGACGTATTCATGAGGTTGCGAAATCTCCCTAATGAATTGTAAAGACAAACGTATAAGTATTTCGTAATTCGTTGCTTCACTTAGTATCATGATTTTTTTTTACAAGATAATGATAGTTATGCGAATTCTCTTGATGTACTGAATTTAATTACGTTGTATCAGAGACGAATTATTAATCTCCTAAATTTTGGAAAGAATCTTCTATCATCTGAACGCTTTAAGGAATGGATCCCAGTAAGAGAAGAACCAGTATAATCACTTCGAAATGTTAATCGGTATTTTGTACCACGCTGTCGAACAAAAAAGATTTGCCAATTCGGCAATGTACTTCCTGAATTGAACTGTTTTATTTTGTTTATTGATTTTTTAATGTGTAATGTAATTGTTCGAATAGGGCTATGACTGTTAACTGTTTTTAATGAAATTTGTATATATTAATAACTTAAAATTCTAATTAATAGATTTAATTAATCAATTTATGCTGATTGGTATTTTAATATAAATTGTAAATAATAAATAATTAATTTTTTTTTGTACTTTGAAATTTTTCGCAAATGTTTATTGCTGGTTTTATATTTCTGTATTTTTCTTCATTGATTTTATGTTAGCTCTTCATTTCAATCTTGAATTGTATTTTGAGTCTTTTTATACCTGAATAAATTTTAAATTAAATTAAATTTTAAAAATAAATTTTAATCAAATAGGCCTAATACTAATTAAACTAAGAAGCCCAGGTAATCTTATTTTAACACTAATAAACTACCGTACCATTTAATCAAATTAATGGGAATCGATTTAAAATTACTATTAATATCAATATGTATTTTAATTTATAACACTTACCATATTCACAAATGTATCTTTCAGTGATTTGTTTCTTCTATGAGTATAAATATCAGAGATGTTACCAGCGGAGATCTTGATCCTAACACCGCAATGTTTGTTTATATTGCAATCAGAATTTAGAGGTTTCCATGTTTGTGTGTGTGTGTGTGTGTGTGTGTGTGTGTGTGTTTATCTCCAGTATATATCTTGATTTATTTATAAAAAGTATCTCTTCGGTGATCCTGTCTTGTCAAATGATTATAAGAAGTGGGCGTATCATATTGATCTCTGTTTTTTGCAAATGACTAGTGGTGTCAGGCTACACATGTGTCTGAGTGTGAATAAGTAGATGCTGTTATCGGATTTGAATTCCCAACAAATGTTCAACTGTTGCATGTGAGCATGTACTTTATGGTAATGGTTATTGATGTTATTATACATTTAGAGACATTGTAATCCATCCTTCGCTTTCAATGATTTAAATTTTGGTATCATGGGGCTACATAATTAATACATCAATTGACAAGCAACAAAATCACACAAAAGCAGCAGGTTTTATTGACTACAAATTGCAGAAAACAGAAAATGCTATAAATTAAATTCATCTTCAAAGGCCCGAAAGCATTACAAAGCCTTGACTAACTGTCGGAAAAGAGATAAATCTCGTAAATATATTTAAATCAACACAAAAAAAATCCAAAATTCATGTTAAGAAAGACCTAAATATTTAATTGAAATTAATGGAGTTCTTGGTTAGAGAAACTAGATTAATTTAAATTTTTGTTGAAGATGTATGCTACTTGGTTATAACCTCATTTTTCTTTTATCATTTATCATTTTATATATTATGTTTACGTTGCTAGGCAGCAAATCTTACATATGTAGGAGATATAAAATCAAGTCTAATATATATGATATATATAATATAAAAATAATAATAATAATAATAATAATAATAATAATAATAATAATAATAATAATAATAATAATAATAATCAACATCATCATCATCAAGATATTCGTTAACACTGTTGAATTATTTATAATTTGATCTGGTAATCAAGGAAAGGTACCGGTAAATACAGTGTTAGAATAATGGACATGATGGTGTATATCGTGTAGCAAAGCTCTCAACGAATGTTGTCCTATAAATAAATACATTTTGTAATAAAATGCCTCCGACGGGATTCGAAACTGCGACCTCTCGCTGTCAAGGTGAGCGTCACAACCTTGATTAATTATATATAATTTAGCAGTGTTAACGGCTATCTTGATTATTAGTATGTGTTACTATTTATTTCCAGCCGTACTTAACGCATTCTCGAGAAGATGCACCATCATTGTGTAATACAATGTAGCTGACAGTTATTTGAATCTGTTCTACCATGGACCTATTAATAGGTCCATGGTTCTACTATGAAGCCTCTGTGGTCTAATAGTTATGACGCTTGGCTTGGCAGCGAGATGTCGCCTGTTCGAATCCCGTCGGAGGAATTTTATTACACAATGTATTTATTTATAGGTCAACATTTTCGTTTTGTTTATATTTATTTCTGGTTTCCAATGCAAAGGCTTATCTGTGAAGTTTTGAAGCCTATACTTGTCTCCGATATAACCACAAAAATTGCAATTAGCATAAAGTAGGCATAATTCCATGTTTTTCGAAAATAGCTGGCAGGTTGCTCGTAAATAAATTTAATAACAGAGGACTCAAGTTACACTGCTGTTGTCTCAAATGATTAGGCGCTATTCAGCAAACAAAACAGAGGACTACATAATATGCACTCACTTAGGCCTATTAATATTATTAGTAAGTAGTACCACAAATCTATTCATATTATAACAGTTCGTTACGCCATATTGGCGACGCAGCTGAGAAATCGACAAAACAAATATAAAGATATGACTTACAGCATTATTTTACATAATTTGTTATTTAAGTTTTTGAGAACTAAAATATGATCAATAGTCTGCGAAGCTTTTTTAAAAGTAATTTAGTTTTTGGGAATAAGCTTGTTTGAACCTAAAAAATGTTAACAGTTTACATAAAATAAGGCAAAAAAGTTTGCTTAGTGATTACGACACAGTACTTGTTAGGCACTTCCTTATCACCTTTTGTGTGGATTGTATAGTTAACGTACTAGTGCACATTCATATAGGAATGTTCCATTTTCAAGAATCACATTAAATCACATTTATTATTAAGGTTTAAGAATTATAGGAATTGATTATTATGATTCGAAGTGTTGATTTCTAGGTTTTATACTTTTAATAGTTAAATTTATAAAATGCGCTAGCCATAGCCATACAAAAAAAGTCATTTACCCTCTCCCCCAACCACGCCTCATCCTCTCAATCGGCAACAGCCAAAATCACTATTGATAACCAAGTGTAATAGACCTTTCCAGAGTGTCAATCAAACTTAACAACTGACTAATCAGAACAGCGCTAGGAATGCGCGCGCGTCTTACAAACACACGTGTTGTCACACAAACGCACGTGTTCGCGTATGTTTTAACACTGCTGTATTTGTGGGACCTAAAGCAACAATATCCTAGGGGCGAGCTTAGCGGAAAGGTCCATTATGTAATCATCTACTTAACAGATTAGAAACGACTCCGAAGTTTCACCTCCACAATAAGTAAGGAAACACCCCCAAAACTTCTTTTCCCGACTTTAGGTTCTTTCCACTTCAGGCCACTTTCTTCGATTGCCAATCCGGGTGAAAAAGAAGAAAATCTTGATCCGCCATGCCACTAAATAAACAGTGACACGAAGATTCGCGTGTTTAAAAAATTTCATGAATGTATATTTAAAGCTAACACTCTAACAATGTAAAGATTAGGAAGGCTTAAACAATGGTGTGTTTCTACTGATAAACACAAAATAATCGATTTTTTAAAACCATTTTTTTTAATGAGCACCAGACAGCCTGCTGGCGTTGCAACTGCATTTTTGATTTTTCGAAAATCGGTTTTCGTGACAGAAATTACATCACCATTTTGTTTATACAACACGTTATTTTCCTAACTGTATAGGATAGTATCTTTATCATTCCTGTCATGATGACGAGGAGTAAGATACGATGTGGGGTGAGAAGGCAAATGTTTTCGGCTGTGCTCATCGGCACAATTATGAACGAGGACAACGGTAGGCCCAAAAGAGCGGAGAGGCCTAGGCCCAATACCCCCACCCCCCACAAAATAATTACAAAACGAATTCGTCACTCCACATTGTTTGTTGACGTTTTTAGCTTGTAGGCCTAGGACATTAACAAGAGGACACATTTTTTTGAAAGTTCGCGCCTAATACGATCTAGTCTTTGCAGTGATTGACCTGGAGATCACATTTCACCTGATAATCGCTTTTTTTGTGTTGCAGCTAAAAGGTGCACAGCCAAAATCGGTTATTTGCCCTTCAAACACGCTATCCATTGCGTGTTTTTAATCGATTTTTTAATCGCTATTTTCAAACTGGTCCCGTTTCTACTGCAAGAATAAAAGCGATTTTTCGAAAAAGCGATTTTTAATTGATTATTTCTTTCCAGTAGAAACAAGCCCTTATAGTTTTTGTTCTTGTTTATTTACTTTTTTAATTATTTTCTTTTATTGGTCATAAGGTAAATTAAGGAGAGAAATGTGGTTCGAGAATAGTTCCTTACAAAATGTCCGTGATTAGTTACGAGAGCCTGGGTTACAACAAAAAGTCTGGAATCATTCAAAAAAATTCCATATCAATATTGACTGCAGTGATTGCTCACTTTATCATTCATTCATTCATTCATTCATTCATTCATTCATTCATTCATTCATTCATTCATTCATTCATTCATTCATTCATTCATTCATTCATAACATTCATTCATTCATTCATGCATTCATCCATCCATCCATCCATCCATCCATTCATTCCTTCCATCCCAAAGTTTGGGGCGTTCCTGTCTCAGGATCCGTTTGTGCTTGTTCCCTGCTGTTTCTATTCTTGTAAATGTTAATATTTTTGAGACAAATAAATCAAATTGAAAATCACGGTTGGTCGTTATGAAATGTTTGCCCCAGGCTGGACCCCACACACATCGACATTAAATACAGTGATGCCTTGATACTACAAAGATTAGGCTCGTGAAGTCAGTAATGGCGTTCCATACTACTGAGCCGCGATCTACACGCATGCTCAGTTGACACAAAGAGTATAAATAGAACAAGAGAGCAAAGTCCCGTTCGTAAAAACGTCATGCCTGTGTAGGACGCCCACTAACGGTTGTATATTCTTTTTATTACCCAGTGCAGCGCTGCGCAGCGCGGTAGAAG